CTACAGCACTGTAAGTTTTGCAAACAGATGACTGTCACCTGGCTTTGGACCCTGATTTCAGGAGTCAGTGACCCTTGAAGACAAGTAGGGTTTTACCCAGACTCCACAAAATTCAAGAGCCCTGACCTTGACCTTGAACTGGGAAATGCTGGGAGGCCAGTAGATCCAAAGGAGGTCATGCTCTGGGGGAGAAAATCCAGTGCAGCTTCTCCTGCAGCCACCTACAATGGCTTCTTTCACAGCAGCCAAGAAGTAGAGGCTTGTGCTATCCTATTCCTTCTTCCCATAAGCCTATTTCAGTTCAGTGTCAAGGGCAGAATCTGGGGAACGTTGGGTGAAGCCCACCTGGCCTAGAGGCCTGTTCACTTCCCTAGTCTCTTGAATCACTGTCCTTTCTAGGTGGAACACATTTGAATCTTTCTCATTGGATCCTCACAATATACCTATGAGGCAAGGGCTATTATTATCCCCATTTTACAGATGGTTTGAGTGGCTAAGTGCCTTGCTCAGGGTCACACGGTCAGTCAATAAGAATTTATTCAATGCTCACTGTGATGTGCTAATAAGCAGATGTCCGGCTGAATCTGAACCAGAATTAAGACAAAGCTTTTCTTGGTTTTGAATCAAGCACTCTCACCTCTCCATTCCTCCCATCTAGAAAATTTACATGGGATTCTGGGCAATGGAATAGATGCACTGAGTCATCTCCTGTTCCATTAGGAAGTGAAGGAGGGCCCTCTGCATTATTCTATTCCTCTGAAGCAGTCATGAGGCAGGCTCTGTGATGACTTTACAAGCATCTCGAAAAGAAATCATAGTCATTGGCATTCATACAAAAACAGCACTCCTCTCATGGGGTTGGTGTAAGGGTCATGTGAGATAATATCTGTAGTTTTGCCAACTTTAAAGTTCTGCTAAATGTTAGGGACGTTTGCAGGTTTGTAAAATGCTTTAATGTAAGAGCTCAATTGAGTCACAGCCTTCACATGTGTTTAGGTAGGAAAATAATTAAGCATTCAAGGAAGGAGTGACCCCTGACATGGCACTGTATGCAAAGAAACCCTGGAGTCAACTTAGTAAGAATGTGCAATTGAGGAATGGTCTCCGATCAAATATGAAGTACAGTAAACGACAATTCCCAAGTAGAGTAGTGCAGTGGGAAGGAGATCTGGCTTTGCTACCTACTGCTGCCTGTATGACCTTAGGTAAGTCATTCTAGGTCTCAGTTTCCTCATCTATAAAATTAAGGTGGAGGATTGGATTAAACTAGATGACCTCTGAGTCATATACCTTTTAAATGTATATTTCTGATCCTATGTGCTGTGATCTCTCTTCACAAGAAAGGAGAAAGAAAAAGGAGGGAAAGAGGAGAGAGAAAGAGAGAGAGAAAGAGGAGAAGGAGAAGGAGGAGGAGGAGGAGGAGGAAGGGAGGGAGGGAGAGATTAAAGGAAAGCTAAAAATGTAGACTTCTTTGGAACGAATGTTAACTAACCATAGAAGCCTTTCCTAGGAGAGTACTTTTGGCTATGCTTGAGAATTTCTCTCTACTTGAACTTTCCTCTAGGTCCAAATCAGCTGCAATTGAAGAAATACAGGTATGTGGTGAGAACCTCGAGACAGACCTTTCTGGATTCAGTGCTCCACAGGGCCTGTAGTAATTAACTTTAAGCCAGAGCTTTGCCCCCTGGGGTTCCTTTTTCTTTCAAACCCTGGCTCCTTTGTTTTTCCCTTTTATGGGTTCATAAGAGAACGAAATCTCCAGTTGGACATGTTGGACAAAAATTCAGTTCTCTTAGGAATGTCTGAATCCATGAGAGAATTCATATTCCTCAATAAATACCGTTCAGCTAATAAATTGAACCCTGATTGCATCCCTGGCATATAGAAGAGAAAACATAGACTGTAGAAGAGACTTTAGAGGCCACTGAGTACAAGCCCTTCATTTTATAGGTGCAGAAAATAAAGCTCAGAGGAGTTAAGGGATTTGACTAAGATCACACAGGTAGTAAATGACACAGTCAGGATTTGAACCCAGAATCTCTGATCCTAAAGTCAAGGCTATTTCTGCTGCACGCATCACTTTATACACCTTGTAGTGTGTGTGTGTGTGTGTGTGTGTGTGTGTGTGTGTGTGTGTGAGAGAGAGAGAGAGAGAGAGAGAGAGAGAAAGAGAGAGAGAGTTCTATGTTTCTATGTACTTATTTATCTGGGGGAGCACAAACACTGTGCCATACTAAAACACTCTGCAAGGTCTTCATAAAATGAATCCTTAATTTTCAGTTCAAAGCAAAGGGGTTTTTTTTCTTTGTTTTTCTCCCTCCTTTAATCAGAGTTGCAAAAAGTTTCTGTGGTAACATGAGTAAGAACTAGCCTCTATTTACATATGTTAGCTAATCTAATAATACCCTGTTTTCCCCTCACCTTTTAAATTAATTAAAAGACATTAACATTTTCTTTCAAATCAAAAAAGTCTAAATAATTTATGTAAAAACAAAAAAAACCAAACTAATAAATAATTATATATCTAAGAAAGAACAAGCGTGGTAGGTCGTTGTGAAACAGAGATGCAGTTAAGTAACACACAGTACTTCACTCTTAAGAAAATGGCTTCCACCCTCCTTTCCTTCCTTCCCTTTTTTCTTTCTTTCCTTCTGTCCTTCCTTTCTTTCTTCCTTCCTTCCTTCCTTCCTATATTTGTCGGGTCAATATAAAGTTTCTGATGCAGCTGAGCTTTGGTGCTGAGAGGCCTTTGGGTCTCAGGTCTCTTCTTTGGGAGGGCTAAATTAACTCAGGCAGAACAAATGCCTGGATCCAGGGGATTAATCTAGAAGGCACTACAATTGGCTACCAAATCTTAGAAGTTTTCACATTCAATCAGTGTCATAGTTGAGAATATTTTTATAATATTTGAGAGTTTTGATCATTTAAAGAATTTCAATCTTTCAAGAAGCCAACCTTAGGAAGAATCCAATAGTTTGACCAAAAGGAATAAACAAAAGCCCAGCCTGGAATCATGCCCATGTTGGGGGTTACAGGGATACATCTTGGGGAATTAACATCTATAATTCTATGTGATTAAAAATAATACCCATATGCATGTATTTGCCACCAATGACATTTCAGTTGTGTAGACACACCACCAAATGCCCCAATACTTGGAAGCCCTTTAAGGCCTGATCAAATCTTCAGCATTTTTCACTTGTTCACAAAGCAGGCTGGTGCTGTGTGGGCATGGCAATGTGCCCTTGGTTGGTTTTTTGTTCATCTGGAGATCTGAGCTCATTTTAAACGGGTTGGGAGAATAGGCACCAACTTTTTGTCAGGACATGATAAGTGACTATTTTTTGTTATAGCTGCTCTCGACCTGTGATTTAACTGGTAGAGGGAATACCCAAAAGGCAAAGTACCTCTAGCAATGAAGAATCTCACCCACTCTGCCAACGAGAGACAGAGGCAGAGTTATAACCTGGGGCCCCTGAGAAAGGAAGTGCCTTAGCCAATGCCACACAGCCAGGATTTGTCCTGACTTGAACCCAGGTTGTCCTGGCTCTCTATTCACTATGCCATGCTTCTTCTTTTGAACGTGTTTATAAATGTATGAAAATGAAGATGCCATCTCCAGTGAGGAAGTTACCAAAGAGTTAAGCAATCAGGTAGGGAGTTTGGGATAGTGGAAATTCCTTTTGTTAATGAGTCTGATTTGAAAGGTGATGAGGTCCCTTCCAACTGTCAAAGTCTGTGATTATGTGTAGTTCAGAGCTTCTCATACCCAACAAGTCATTTGGGGGCACTTACTTACTTTCTCTCCTTTATTTTGTGCATTATGATATATAGATGTATTTATATCTATATGTAAATAGATATAAATATGTGTGTATATTTCCAATAAAGAAACAAAAAACCTTTATGTTTTAATATTAATTTACAAGATTTAGGAGGTAGCCTATTGTATCAAAAATGAAAGAAAAAAAAGCTCTAGCTTAACAACGAGAAGACTTAGGATCTTGGGTAAGTCATATAATCTCTTTGGCACTTCCAATTTCTTATCAGCAAAATATGGAAGGAGAGGAAGAGAAAGTCAGACTACAGGATCTCTAATACTCTTTTATCTTTTTTAGAATCTTTGATAAGTAAAGGCAGCTCAGGTCGTATTTCAACAATAGGGAACATAGTAGTCCTCAGGCTAGTTTAGCACACTGATGGGGAAAAATATATTGAAATCCAGTTTGTATGGCAAAAATTGGTGTATTGCTTTCCTAAGTTAAAAAAAAAAGATGCAGTCATTGGGTACTTTGCCTGATAGCACAATTTTCATATGATGTGTTGAGGTTCAATTTCACCATCAGGACAAAGGAAAGGGTACCATGCATCTAGCTGATCAGGTAAGAAAATCCCAAACCCCAAAGCAATAAGAAATGAAGGGATGGCATTCTCTAGAAACCCAATGCTTCTGTACTGGGTCTTTTTATCGACCATTTACTTATTCCCAATGAGAAGAGACTCCACGATACTGACACTCAACAGCCTTGGTTTTCCCAGTGGCAGTAGATAAGCACGTCCTTGATCCAGTAATTTGTGGCATGCATTAAGATGAAAAGATCAAAAAACCAATCAGGAAACACCTCTGGAATTAGAGTTTGTAAAAAACAAAACAAAACAAAAACCCACATATATACACAGACAATAACAGCAACATCAACAACAATCCTAGAGTTTAGAAAGCAAAATCACTTACTATGAGATGAAGGTTGCACTGACCTGCCACCGACTATGACCATCACCTATCACCAAAATACCAAGGCAGAGTAAACAATTCGATCTGGATGTTTTCTCTGTTCAATTCAATTCGGTTTAACTCATTAAGCATTCACACCAAGTGCCAGGCTGTGGGCTAGGCACTGGGGAGACAGAGAAAAAATACAAAGTAGTGCTGGCCCTCAAGGAGTTTACATTCCACTTGAAGTTCAAATATGTAAAAAAAAAAAAAAGATAGTGTAAACACCTGGTTAATTGAATTAAAATAAAAACCACTTTTCATTTGGAAATTTGGTGATGAATGAACATAACCCAAGAAAGGACTGTACCCTTGTAGTAGGCAGTGATGCCAGAGTCATCTCACAGCATTGTCCTTTCCAGCAGGGAAAAGGGATGGAGGTTAGCTACCTGTAAAGTGAGATCAGTGCTGTTCAGATCTACATTCTATGCTGTAACTAAATAAGTTATATATTACATTAAAGTGCTAGGACAACACTAGTCTCGAACAGTAGTAAGCCACATTTCTCTTTCACAAAATCAGCAGCTATCACATCCAATGGCTATGTCACAATGTGGAAGCATGTCAGTCTCTAGCAGAACTTTCAACCACCAATGGTGTGACTGAAGAATATTTGGGCACCTCCTGCGACTTCTCAATGTGAAGACTTCTTTTTTAGGAGATGGTCATGGAGAAGGTTTCCAATGAAGGCCCCATTCCTTTAGAAGTTGCGCTTAAAAGTTTCAGGAGGGTGTAATTTACTGATGTCGATGTTTATCTCTTCGGGTTTGTCACGGCGGTATGTGACAGTGTGCGTACAGACGGCTGGCAGAAACATCTTATCCTTGAAGAAGAAGTCATAGGGATATGAGTGCAAGACCAGGATATTCTATACAGAAACTCAATGGACATCCCCCTATCCCGCCACTCCAGGGCCTTTTCCAAAAGCAATTACCTTCTTTGATGTGGACACTCTGTAGCTGGCAGATTTCACTTTATTTCTGGTCCTTTGGAGGATGACCTGTCTGATGATGAGAACCTTCAGTAATCCAATAAGGAATGTGATGATGGAGATGATGAAAAATATTCGGAAATGGCTTGGGTTAGAGAAACATTCTGCAAGGGGTAAACAGACAGGAAGGCATGAAACTTGAGGGCTATGAGGAGGTCAAGAGGTGCTACAAGGTCAATTTTTTTTTGCTTTCAGACTTGAATGTGAATAAAGCAAGTTTACCTCCCCTCACTCCTACCTCATCCATACACATATGCTGGCTCAATTCAGATGAACCATCATTTATGAAGTACCTACTATGTTTCAGGCACTGTACAAGCCTGAGTATTGGAGAATACTCAGGCCATAACAGCACAAGAGGGAGACAACTGTCTGAAAACCCACAGATGACCAAGCAGGAGTAATATGTACTCATGATACAAAAGGGAAATGATCTAATTGTAGAGACCATGTCTCTGATTTCCCCGAGTGATAGATACTTTATAATTAAGTAATATCTTTCATCTGGAACTGTGATTTCATTGGTGTAGGGCAGAGGTCTCAAACATGGGACCCATGGGGCCTGAAACATGGCTGAGTATAGCCTGAACTAGATTGAATGTAATTTGGAAATAGCTAACAAACAAAATAAATAAAAACGCAATAAAATGTAGATAACACGACATCTGCAAGCCCAGTTACAATGTGGTCCTCAGAGATCCTTCTATGTGGCTTTGGGGACCCTGTTTCCACTGGAGTTTGACATCAGTGGTGCAGGAAGCAGCTCATATTTAACTTACAATCTTAGAGAGTTGCCTAGGAAACTAAGATTTGCCCATGGCCATGCAGCTAGTATGTGTCAGAGGAAGGGCTTGAATCTGCATCTCTGTGACATCAAGGCCTGCCCTTTACTCAATATATACATTGCCTTAGAGGCAGCATAGCAGAACAGATCAGGGTAGCTAGGTGGTAGAGTACTGGGCCTGGAATCAAGAAGACCTGAGTTCAAATCTGGCCTCAGACACTTACTAGCTGTGTGAACCCGGGCAAATCACTTTACCCCTGTTTGCCTCAGTTTCCTCATCTGTAAAATGAGCTGGAGAAGGAAATGGCAAACCACTCTAGTGTCTTTGCCAAGAAAATCCCAAATGAGATCATGAAGAGTCAGATATGACTGAAACAATTGAACAGCAACAGTAGCAACAGCAATAGTATATCAAATGTTGGACTTTGAGTCAAGAAGTCTTGGGTTCGAATCCTGCCTCTGGTACTTACGAGCTGTGTGATCACAGGCAAGTTTCCCTTAAGTTTTCTGAGGCTTAATTTCCTTATTTAAAAAATGAGAGGATGAGACTAGATTTCTTCTAACACCCCTTTCATCTCTAAATCTGAGACCTTGGCCGAGCTGTCCTTAAGATCTAGACCATCATCCTAAACTCAGAAGAAAAGACAGGCCAATAACATAGTGAGAACGATTGATAACTGAAGGACAGACCATGCAATACCACTGCTATCCATGTAATACCAAGAGATTGATGGAAAGGTCCCCACCATGCTGACAGGGCTCCCCCGGGCAGGATTTACAGGAAGGAAGGCAAGGACAAGGCCCCACTGACGGGAAGGCATAAGTGGATTGCTATCTGCCTCACTGGAAGGAGCACTCACATGGATGAGGTCACAGATACACGGACGTTCTAACAAAAATCATCTGTTGCGCAAGGCTCTCCACAGACACGGAGATCATTTCTCTTTTACAGAATCAGCTGCATATGCCTGAGGTTTTCAACTAAGATTGATTTTAACTATGCCCAAATGACAGCATTTGTGATGGTCCTTGATGTTCTGGTGAATGCAAAATTACTTAAATCAAGTCCTCACAACTCTGGGGACCAACAATCCCGAGCTGTTTCTCTTACCGTGTATTCTCCCTGTTTGTTCTGTTCCAGTCATATGAAATAAAGTTCACATTTGAAGAAGCCAAATCAGCACTATTGGAAGAGATTTCTCTAAATATCTCCCCTGAAACCCCTGTGTCGCTCTTCATTAGCGTTGGCTTCTCCAGTAACTTGGAGGCTCTGGTCAGGCCCTGCCTGCCAAACCCAGCTATCCTTGTTATTTATCTTTCGCTTTCTCTTTGGCAAGAAATGAATTCTTGTTATTTTTTTTAAACATTCACAATAAATTCTTTCAAGAGCAAATGAATACTAACTGGAAAGGAGAGTGCTGTGTCAAGAAGCTCGGTATGCTGGGCCTCCTATTTAGGACCAAATCTTTAGCATATCTTGTTTGGGCAGGTTTAGTGGGGCTCCAGAGCCAGAGACAGCACCCAGATCATCTGAGAAGATGATTTCATAATACTCTGGGAAGCCAGAGGTGGCATGGAATTCCCCAGAGTGGTCTAAGTTAACTGCTTATCCTTCTCCCCATTCTCCAGGTGAATTCTTGACTTTCTGGGTTTCCTGGGTTGATGCTGACTTACTCAACGACCTTCAAGCACAGGCTAGACCACTCTGCTGTGCATGCTATAGAGGGGGAATCCTCTCATATAGGGATAGAACTCACTAGATCCTGAGATCTCTTCCAATGGTTTTATGGTTCTGTGACCAGCCCAAGAGAGACTCGTGGGAGGGTGCCAGCCTCAACACGTGGTGTGGTCAAACTGAACGTGGACAGCTTAGGATACTGAATTACGCAGAGTTTCCTTGAATCTTTGAAGCAAATCAGAATACAGCAACAGCAATACCAATCCCAATTAACTGGGATGATCTTAACTGGGATGATTAGGATGATCAACCGTTACAGGCTCAGCTGCTTTGATCAGCGCAACAATCCAAGACAATTCCAAAGGAGGACCCATAATGACAAATGCTCTCTACCGTCAGAGAAACAACTGATGAATGAATTCTGAGTTCAGACTAAAACAGACTTTTTTTTTTACTTTTCTTATGTTTTTTTTGGGGGGGGGTCTGTGTTTTCTTTTGCAACATGACTTCACATGCATAATCAATATTAAATCGCTTGCCTTCTTTAGGAAGGGAGAAGGGCACGTACAGAGAATTTGGAGATCAAAATAAAAAAATGTCATTTTTTTTTACATCTAATTGAAAAATACTTAACAAAGTAAATAAAAATACTAAAAAAAGAAACAAACCAGAATTCAGGAGTAAGGAAAGGACTGCCTCATCACTGAACCCTAATTGGCTGCAGCCGAGTGCCTTTGCCTCTAGAGATGCAGTTATGCAGATCCCTTTAAAGAGTTTAAAGGCTGATGGCTGATAGGGAGGGGTGTGTGTGCCTATATGAAGGAAGGCTAATCTCTAGAGAGGACACATAGCATCATAATATCCAGATGATTCGTGTTTTAAGGTTTCCATGAGCACATGAGCTTGCATGTTTCAGCCAGTGGAGCTTGATCACACCCTAAGTGACAATTAGCTTAAGTCTCTGAGCTTTCTTTGGCCATATGTCCTTGGGGGTCTATTACCTTGCCATAATACCAGACATCTAATAAACGAGATTTCAAGTTTGCAAAGCACTTCATGCAAATGAGCTCATTTGATACTCCCAGCAACCCTGTGAATTAGGTATGATAGTTCTCATACAAACAAGAAAACTGGGGATTAGAGAAAATGAGTGACTGCCCATAGTCCCACAGTTAACGAATATCAGAGATATGATTTCAACCAGGTCTTTCTGACTCCCAGGCCACAGCTTTCTCCATACAGAAGGTACTTAAAAATGCTCATTGAATCAAATTGAAATTGAATTATTTCTCTGTGGTATATAAACAAGCTCCTTGGGCATCATGTGTGGCATACAGTAGGCACTCAGTAAATGCTTGCTGACTGAACATTTACATGTTATGTTTGCCAGTTGACTATAACCTCCTTGAAGGCAGAGATTTTGATATTTTTCCCCTTGAACTCACAGTGCCTAGCCTGTAATAACTGTTAAATGAATGTCGATTAATTGGTTAACAGAAATTGTCCCGCTCCCTGTTCCTGGATTGGAGTCCTGCCTGGAATGTGATCACAAGACAAGGAAGTCCACTTGATTAGGGCTGACTGGAGGGGAGATTGCAGTCCAGTCTTGGAGTGAGTGCTCTCTCTTTGTGGGCCCCCTGGTAACTACGAGGGAGCAGGGCTGAGTTAGGGGTAGAGGGCATTTTCATGGGTTGAACAAGGGTCCTTTTGGAAGTTGTTAGGAAGACTATACACGTGGCTTTGGCCTCCCTCTTGGGGGGAGGGGGTGCAGGGTCAAGCAATGACTTGTCAAGAAGCTTTCTATGGCTACCCGAGCCAGGCCTGTGTTTGCTTATTCAGTGTAATAGATGACGTGGTGATCACCATGAGCCCTGATCCCTGCATTCTGAAGAACGACAGGTCCAGCTGGAGGCAGATGGAGCTCCTCCTGGAGCCAACTGTACATTGGGAGAAGCTCAGGAGCAGGGAGAGCCTGGGGGGAAGGGGAGATGCTTATATGGAGGCCCTTCAAGGATAGGCCAAGTTAAACCTCACAGCAGAAGGACGGCAGTGCCCCAACACCACGAATGATGTTTACTTAGTGCTCCGAGTGAGGCAAAACCCTTTGTAAATGACATCATGTGAACCTAATGCAGCACTGTACGAGAGACAGTGTGATGTAGTGGTAGAGTGCTAGGCTTGTAGCTCTGAAGGCCTAGGTCCAAAGCCTGCCTCAGATACTCACTAGTTAACCCTGAGCAAATCACTTAATCTCTCTCTACCTTGGTTTCCGCATCTGTAAAATGGAATTAATAATAATATTTACCTTACAGAGTTTTTTGTGAGGGTCTAAAAGGATGCGAATAAAAAGTCTTGTAAGCCCACATATATTATTTGTCAGTAATTTTTTATGTTCATTTTCACCCCCATTTTACAAAGGAGGAAATGTGTCCAGAGAGTGACTTGTCCATGGTCACCAGGGTGTTAAGTATCAGAAACAGCAATTAAACTCAGGTCTTACTAACTCCTAGGCCAGTACTGCATCTACTGGGTGTGTGTATGTGTGTGTGCATATGTATGTGTATGTGTGTGTATGTGCACGCACATGTGTGCACATATGTGAGTGTGCCTACCTGTATAACAGGAGGTGGGAGACACTGATTTTCTTGCCTTAGCGAATCAGTATATCCTAAAATGAGTCAGCTCTGAGCAGAGTCCTTATATTTTCCTGCACGTATTTGCACATTCTTTTGTGGACAGGCCTAGTAGTTCATTAGCTACAGTTAATTCACAGCCAGAAGGTATATTTAAGGATGATAGTGCAGTGGAAAGACCTGGCTGTGCTACCACCTCTAGGGCATTAGACAAGTGACCTCCCTTCTGTGCTATTCTATTTCTTTGTACGTAAAAAGGGAGGGCCTTGATGCTCTCTGAGGGTCTTTCCAGTTCCAGAGATACATTCTCTCTATTTGATGCGGCCTCACAGACGTCTCACACAATCTCTTTGGCCACATCATAGGTGAATTGGATTAATCAATCAACAAGCACTTATTAAGTGTCTATGACGTGCCAGCACTAGGGACACCAAGAGAGAAAGGAACTCCTTGCCGCCCAGAAGCTAGCCTTCCATCAGGGAAGGCTGGCACACAGCACTGTGTACAATGGGCACACAATAAATGCTTGATGTCTCATCATCCGATATGGCAATCCGTATGAAGAGTTGGGATGGAAATCAAAACATTCCACTCTGGCCCAGCCCAAATCTTTGGCAATCAAGCCTGAATCTCTGGAAGACAATCAAAATGAGGCATCATTTGGGATGGCCTTTCTTTGTGCCTTTCCTTGGCACCCCTGCATTTAACACAACAATGAATAAATGCATGTTGATGAATATGTCTTAGATGTGTTGCCTTTTCTGGGAGGCCAGGAATCACAGAAGGGCCTCTTCAGCCTCGTGAACCAATTAGGATGAAATAAGACAGTCATTTACCTTCTATTTGGCCAATATAATAGGCCCTTGGAGGACACGAGGCTCTGCACTGATCAAGTATAGCTTGAGATAAATTGTGAGGATGGTAGCATTGGACACAATTCCTGGAAAGTGAGAAGAAAAGTGGCAACGTTTACACATTTAGGAAAAATCCCACTGTTGGGTTTGTCTTAAGAGATGAGGTTATAAAGAGGCTTCCCAATGCCTGGAATAGAGCAAAAAAAAGTTTATTTGTAATCAGGAAAACATGTACGATCAAGGCTCCATTGCAGCTAATTGATTTAAAAGACCTGACTTTTATGAAGGGATGAAGACAAAAGAATTTTTGTGGGGATCATACTTTGCCAGATGATTACTCATCAAGAAGAAAAACCAGTCATAAAATGGACCCTATCACCCCCTGAAACACTGGAAATATGTATTGACACTTATTTAATCTTACCATTTTACCTTTCTTTAAGGACCAGCTCAGTTTCTGAGTCCTCTAAGAAACCTTTGAGTTATCAGTATTCCCTCCCTCCTCTTCATTATTGTGCCCTGACTCTTCTGTGTGGAGTTCACATATTTCCAATAGAATGTAAGCCCTCTGAGGTCAGGTTCTTTTCCTTTCTTTCCTTTTTCTCTTTCTTTCCTTTTCTTTCTTTCCTTCCTTTCTTCTTTCCTTCCTTCCTTCCTTCTTCCTTTCTTTCTTCCTTCTCTCTCTCTTCTTTCTTCCTTCCTTCCTTTCTCTCTCTCTCTCTTTCTTTCTTTCTTTCTTTTCTTTCTTTCTTTCATTCTTCTACATTCTCAGTACCTATCACCATGTGTGGAGCTTAGTAAGTGCTTAACAAATGCCTGATATATTGAACTGAATTTCCAACTTAGTTTGAATGACACAAACCTCTTAGAAGGATGTGCTGGTCAATTTTTATGGGAGAAGTTGAAATAAAAGAATTCTGAAACCAGGGTAGCCATCAAATCGATATCAGATACCCAGGTAGAAGGGATCTTCAAGGCCATGTGATCCAAGCCCTCCCTCTGATGGAGGACGATCATGGTCTTAGAAGTCTAGAGATGGAAGGGACTTCAGAGTCCAAGTTCTTCATTTTCCAGAAAAGGAAATGGGCTTGGAAAAGGGAACGAGCCAAAGTCACTGAGGCAGTAAGTGGGGCTGGGGCTGGGATTTGAATTGAGGCCCTTTGACTCCAAGTTCAGAGCTCTTCCCAGAGGGAAAGCCTACAGGACTCCAGAGTTCTTCAGGGGGTCTGACCAATTGCTCCCCAGGTCCCACCAATCCTGCTTAGTTTCTGAGACCAGGGAAGATGGGGCATGTTTAAGGTTGGCATGGCTGTAGACATTCAGGTGAGCATGGCTATAAAAAGAGAAACATGTTATTAAAGCTATTCACCATTATTTCTTTTTTTTGTGAGGCAATCGGGGGTAAGAGACTTGCCCAAGGTCACACAGCTAGTGTGTGTCAAGTGTTTGGTCTGAGGCCGGATTTGAACTCAGGTCCTCCTGACTTCAGGGCCGGTGCTGTATCCACTGTGCCATCTAGCTGCCCCACCATTATTTCTGTATTCTAAAGATATCCCCCACAATGGTCATGCTTCATTGTGACCAGTAAATGAACTCCTTGATTTTTTTCAAACAAGTATTTATTAAATACCTACTATGTGCCAGGCACTGTGCTAAGCTCTTTATATATATTTTCTCATTTTATCCTTACAACAACTCTGGAAGGTAGATACTATTATTACCCCTATTTTACAGATGAAGAAACTGAGGCAAACAGGGGTTAAGTGACTTGCCCAGAGTCACACAGCTCGGATTTGAACTCAGGTCTTCCTGATGCTAAGTCCAGCACTCTATCCAGTGTGCCATCTAGCTTCCTCTTTTTTTATTTTTTTTATTTTTTATTTTTCATCTAGCTTCCTCTTGAACGGAGTCATGGCCTACCAAGTGGGTCTGGCCTGTGGATGGACAATATGCTTGTTGTCCCACAGCACCCTCACAAAGGAGGTCCATCACTACACTGTTTGCAAGGTGCCGCTTTTTTGAATGTAACAATTCTTGAGGTCCAAGTCAAGGAAAGGCTGTGTTCTGGGCCACTGCAGGGATCAGGCTTCCTGAAAACAGACCATATCACAGGCATCTGAAAAACTCCAGAATCCTAAGCTGGGTCTACAAGGCTCTTTTGTCCTCTACATCTTCCCTTGCCACAGTTCTAGTTGAAGCTCGTGTTGTGAAGAAACAAAACCATGCCAGGGGATTCAGCATCAGCAAGGTTTGGAGTTTCCTGTTCCTGGGCTATTTGTTAGCTAGGCTTTCTGCCTCAGTATACTCATCTGTAAGAGGAGGGGTTTGACTAGGTGGCTTCCCAGGGCCTTTTCAGCTCTAAATCTCCAAGTCTATTCAAGTGAAGAGTACAATTTATGGATTCTATCATGCTGCCCTATCCTTGAGCTGGTACCAAGCCATCACTACTTGGTCCTAGCTTCTGGCAATGGCAAACAGGGTGGCACAGCAGAAGAAGCACTGCCTCAGGACTTGCATTCAAACCCCACCTTTGAAGTTTTTTCCATCTGTGACCTGAGGCAAGTCATTTCAATTCCTTACACCTCAGTTTCCTCATCTGTAAAATAAGTGTTTTAATTAGTTGGACTAGATGTCTTCTCCATCTCTAGAACTAAGAGGAGTGTATAGAGTGCTGGACCTGGAGTCAGGAAGACCTGAGTTCAAATCCAGCTTCAGACATTTGCTAACAGTATGAATCTGGGCACTTAATTTCTGTCTGCCTCAGTTTTCTCATCTGTAAAATGGGGATAATAATAGCACCTACTTCCAGGATGGTTGTGATCATCAAATGAAAAAATATTTTAAAGGTCTTTGCAAACCTAAAAGTGCTAGTTTATATATAAATACTAGCTATTATAATAGCAACTTGTACTTAGAGGTCAGTTTTATTGCTAATATATTCTACATAGTCACTCTGTTTGTTATTCTGACAATACATCTAAGGAGCTGTCAGTGAAGGGTAATCATGATTTTTAGATTGGGAGAAATGCTTCTAATTGGGAGAACAGCTTCTAATATGTGGTTTGCTGAACCACAATTGATTCAGCTTCCCATTAGACTCACTTCAACAAATGTCTATTAATGGCTGCTATGTGTCAGGTACTAGAGATACAAAGACAAAAAATACGACAATATCTGTTCTTAAGGAGCTTATTTTGTCCTGATATTTTGCGCTAGTGGCTAAAGAAGTGCTATAAAATAGAGATTTGGATGCTTTCAAATGGTGCACAGCATGAGAGAGATAAAAGTAAAGATGAGTATGAGGACCAGATGGTGATTTTGGAACTTACCGGTTTTCATCACAGGTTGTATCACAGGTGGGGCAGTATTCACAGAAACGGCCAACGATGCGGGGATCCGTGCATTCACACTTCCCACACACACAAGCCCCTCTCCCACTGCACACCTGGCCTTTGGAATTGACGCAGTGTTGGGTAGAGGAAGATGGACACTGGCAACGGTCTCCTTCCCAACCGCGGAAGCATTTGCATAGGCCTCCTTCACATTCCCCATGCCCTGTGAGGAAAAAAACCAAAACTTTAGGACATAAGTTCGGTGCTACATGGTTTTTGGGAGCAGTTCCAAAACACTTATTTCCTTGTCCACTCCGTGGAAACCCAATGACAGGAAGATGAATGAAGCCAGCCTCCTTTGCTATTGGCCTAGCATCAATATTTGCTAGGCCTGGTGAGTGGCTGTTTCCAAGGCCATTCAACCAGGAGTAATCTCATCCTACTTAATGTATTGTGTTGACAAGCGTGAAGTCAACTCTACATTAGGCTGACATCAAGACGGTTTCATTCTGTGGCCTGTTGGAGTTATTCAGGCTTTACCTAGGCTCAGAATGAAATCTCCTAGACTACTTTATTGGCACTGCACCCTAATTTCAAAACAAACAAAGAAAAAAAGAAAGCAAAATACGACTCTACCAACAAGATGCTGAACTCATGTTAATTATCTGAGTTATAACCTGAAAGGTCAGGACATTCCGTTAGAGTCTCCATAGTGTATAGTGTTGTGCCTGGTGTGAGCCAAAGGCTAGGAGGACACAGGCCCATTAGTCACACTCTGCTGGCATTTGGGGACAGGTTCTTCAAGTTCCCTGGTTATTGGTCAAGCCTGCTGGGAAACAAAGTTAACTCATCGAGAATAATAGCTTCATTCGTTAGAACCAAAAGCCAACAGGGCCATGTTCATACCCACCCACCCCCAACCCTGATATATGCCCTTTTGTTTGAATCCGTATTATTTCCAGATAGTAAAGTCTTAATCTAGGCCACTTGCTTGTAAATGTGAAACATTAGTCAAAAAATATTCTCTGGGAGAGGGGATGGCCAGAAACTTTAAAAAGAACTTTAAATATATGCTCTCCCGACAGCGGGGCAAGCTATTGTGCCTCATTTGTACATGGAAGACAGGGCATTGATATTTAAGGCTGAAGTGCAAATATTGGTGGTTCAAACCGGAACTAGAGTGGGGCCACTGGAGCAGTGTTCTTGGGTTCAAATTTAGAAGGTGCTGACAGTATTTATACTCCTTCTTGTGTAGAAACAAGTGAAATAGCCAGGTCGTTAGCAAGAACATTCAGACGCCCAAAGGAATCTGTGATCACACTGATTTTGAGTTTCCTTCCAATAATTGGACTTGCACTAGCTTCCTGGTCTTGTGCAACTCTTATCCTTGTCTTCTTTTAAGTTCACTGGATGAAGTCCACCCAGCATACTGGTGGCCTTCCTGCTAAGATTACAGAGGTGATCAAGTGAGTCACTCTAGCTGTCCACTTCTCATCCTTCATTCTTGCCATATGTAGAAGACAATGATGACAGCAATAATAATAATAGCTAACATCTATATAGCATCTACTGCATGCCAGGCACTGTACTAAGCACTTTTCAAATATAATCATTTGATCTTCACAACAACCCTGGGAGATAGGTGAAGTTATTATCTCCAATTTGCAGATGAGGAAGCTGAGTTAAATAGAAGTTAAGTGATTTGCCCAGGGTCACACAGCTTCTAAGTGTCTGAGATAGAATTTGAACTCAGGTCTTCCTGACTCCCTTCATGGTGATCTATCAACTGTAACACTAGATGAGCGGCCAATTTCTCTTCCAATCATTATGATAAAAAATGTTAGTAATCCATCACATTCATTTTTCGCAGTTCCTCATTGGTTGTATGTTCCAACTTACTCATCACATTCACCATGTGCTGCTCTATTCCCCTCTGGAGAGACTGTCATTGTTAATTATTTGAAGAATGTTGTATTCTATCCATATGGCAATACCAGAAGAATGTTGGTATTAAAAAAATGGACTTTTGCTTTCATGGGAAGCTGGGGTCATTAAAAAAAAAACACAACAAAACCTGTGCAGTTAGCTGAAGGCAATCTGGCTGCCATGCCTCTTGTTCGGTCCTGGGCCCAACGTATTGTCAATCTACATACAAACATACATGATGACAGACATACTCTGTGGGTTGTTCATTCAAATTCATGTTGTAATCTGGATATGGTCATTCTTCATGCAGTCAATTTTTTTTTTCAGGCTTGGATGATCAGGCCAAATTCCTTTGAGTGATTACAGATCTATTCCCAAAAGCTTTGCAGGTTTCTGAGCCTTGACATCATTAGCATTATATCATTTCATATCCCCCAAGTAAATGATTCAAGTGTGATGGGTCCACTCTTCTTGGTGGACAAAAACTTCCTTGTCATGAATCTTACAAATATTTTCCATTTTTCTTCCTCATAGCACTCCTTTCATTTTTATCCTTAAATGTCCTTGGGATGATTTTGCTTAGTTTGATATCTTACCAAACTTAAAAACATAACAAAACAAAACTGGCTTGGCCTTCCACTGCTCTCTGCTTTATGAGCAATTGTCCATCATCCTTCTTCAGGAGATTTTACAAACAAGTTTGTCTCCTAACCAGGTGTTGCCATTGGTACTCACCTTTCCACTTGGCAAGAAATCAGATGTTGCTAAGTAAGGCACGTTCAGGGCACTTTTGATTCTTTTGTTGTGGTAATTAATTCATGTTCGTTAAACTTCTGGATAAAATTCTTATAATCACTGTGGATATCACTTCTGTTGTCGGTTTCCCATGTTTTATTGTCAGTCATTTGTTTAAATAGTGCATGATTAAGGTTTTTCAAATGTAAGTCACACCTTTTTCTCATTTTCTCTTTACTTTTTACTAATTCTCCTCTTAGCCCTCACAAATCGATGGTCTTCCTGATCACAGACAGCCGACTTGGGGCACATCAATGACAAATCTTTTCCTGTTTATTAAACTAATAGTCTATTTAATGTATAGTGTTAGAGGGTACCTGTTACGTCCTGGGTCAAGCAGTCGTTTTCTTAAAGAGAACACTAGTGATATAAAAGCAAGGTAAGAGACTTGTAAACGTTCTTCTTGAACTATCTGCTTTCTTATGTATTTCTCTTCATCCTCCCCTTTTCTTACCTTAGGGTTGAAATTGGTGAGTATCAGAGTATTTGTTGATTTTAATTTGTAGGGTCTTAGCAATTTTTTGTAAAATTTCTCTACCACCTGATCTTCAGCAAATGGTGTTGATATATAAACTCTAATTATTTTCATGGTGGGCTTCCTGCAAGTATTTGACATTAGTACTGCAGTATATGTTTTGTTGCCTTTGGGAATATGATAAAACCTATTCCATCAATGCTTTTCTTTGCCTCTTCAAGGGCTACCTACGAGTCTTCCATCAATTTAGCTACCATTTCTACTTTTGTTCATAGAAATAATGTCAAGATTGACATGACAGCTTCTCCTCCATAAGTCTCTTTGCTGGTCACTGGATAAGGATCTCACAGAGTACCAATAGTCAAATTAAAATGAATAAACAATCTAAGCACTATGTGATTTTTAGACTCCCTCTACTCCTTTCCTGAAACTTGGCAACCATCACTGGAGAGGTAGAAGGGGGCTCCAGAGGACTGAGGACCAAATAAGTCATCACTATGTGGCAAGCCTACTAGCAATGTGCCCCTCCATCCTCAGCTAGGTTGGTCCTCTGAAAACAAATTCAATCTGTTGTTAGGACTATACTTCAAGTATAGTCCTTGCCATCTTGGTAAAGACTTCCAGTTTTATTTGAATAGTCTTTGTGAAGACAGAGTTATCTCCATGCCACGATGAGGCATCAGAATGGGCACAGGTAGGGGAAAATAGTCAAAAAAGAAAACTACAAAATGGCAACCTTGCTCCTCCGGTGGCCATATGTTGAAGTGATCTTCTCTCCAGTCTAGCCCTGTTCCCCTCTTCCCTCCCTACCAGAATTCCTGTGTCTTGGGATTTCTCCCTCACCATGTTCAAATGAATTTTCTTAAAAAGTTGGCTCAACTTGATTTGAGGCATACTGCATACTGCTCACCCAAGGAGCCCAAATGGCTCTTCAGGGTCCTAATGGTGATTTAAAGACCCTGAGGATTTCTAACAGTATTGAGAGACACGGGGGTAATCTTCAGTAACACTCTCTATGCTCTTCTATTGTCTGTTCCTTGAAGTCCAAAATTAGATAAAGAAAAAAACACCTAGTTCAAAAATAGGACCATCTCTTTTAAAGGGTGGCTAATGTTTCTTCCTTTTCTAAAGTATTCCTATTCTCCCTGTTGAAACAAGGCATGGCAAGTTAAATATTCTGGATACAAAACATCTTTAATACAAAATGAATAAGAAATACTCTCTCTAATCAATAGCTACATAAGTTTAGAGATTCACAAAGTATGGTCTGTGAATTTGCCTTTGTTTGAGTATTTTATAACAATTTCAGTACAATTAGTTACCTTTGTAATACTCATGTATTTTATTTTATAGCATTCCAAGAACCAATCCAAAGGCTTTGTCAGATTGCCAAAGAGATCATGACACAAAAAATGTTTAAAGCCCCCTGATTACTGGAATTGGAAGAAGTGGAGAGGTCAGATGACCACTTGTTGGGGGTGCTAAGGGAAGTCTTTTTTCCTCTTTGAGTTGGACTAGATGATGCTGTTGAGGTTTGTTCCAACCTGAAACTCTCTGAAATCATATAGTCCAACACCTTTGTTTTGCAGATGAGGGAATGGAGACCCAAAGAATTAAAGTTATTTCCTCAAAGTCACCCTTCTAATTAGTCCCCAAACCTAGACTCAAATTCATCTATGCTGGCTCCTGGTCCATTGTAGCATACTGTGTCCTTTAATGGGATGTGCTAAAGTTTTAAACCTAAACAAGGCAATAAAGTCTACCTGTCATAGCTTTATGACACACCATTCATGCTGCCAAAAGGAAGCCTTCATCTGATGAAATTGTTGATAGTACCCAGATAGTGAGTAATTCAAATAAGTTGCTATCGCTTACTACAAAGTTGCCAGATGTTACTGAAATAAATGAACAGATGTCTTCGTGGTAAATGGATTTCAGAGAAAATTCATAATTGAAATGTATTGGGCTAAGCATGACAAGAGATTTCCTTATAATGCCACAAAATGGACTTTTGTATCTCACCCAGGTCTTTTCTATTACCTCTAGATGGCAGTAAACATGATTAGATAATTTATTAGCTGATTCTAATTTTTAAATGTTATGTACATTTACAATGTACATGTACAATAGAGAAATAGAAGATTATTTCAAATCAAGAGCTTGACTCATTTTCATAAACAATTATCAGATTTTGTACTTGATAGTGACATTATTGTTCTAACTGGAAATATTTAGCACACAAAACTTAAATGTGTTTTTATATTGAGTGAATATGAAAAATATTAATAGTAATAATAACAACCCAGAAATCACTTTAAAGTTCCCAAAGTGCTTTATACATCTTATCTCATTTAATCCTCTCCTCAACCCTATGAGGTAGGTGCTATTAATATCCCCATTTTAGAGTTGTAGAAACTGAGGCCCAGAGAAGTTATTTGCCAGGCATACAAGTAAATAATAAATAATATGCTCCCTCATAGTATGTGCGCAAAATATGTGTGATTTCATCAGCTTCCTAGAATGAGAGATCCTTCCCCAACCCAAATTGCAACCTATCTATGAATTAGTAGATAAGCTCTAAGGAAGTACTTGACATGCACAGAGATTTCATGATTTCCTGGGGTTCCACAGTCACTATTTGTCAAAGGTGGGATTTGAACCTAAAGTCTTCTTGACTCCAAGCCCTAGACACTGTTCTCTACTGTCTCTTACATTCTACATGTCTCTGTGCTTGAGCAGCTACTTATTGGACACTCAGAACAAGTTTTGTTTTGGTTTTTCCCAATTTTTTTTTCCAAGGACTAGATACGGGTTGACTTATGAGTAGCTCCCAACAATTGTTATAGAAAGAACATCCTCTGAGCTCTCATGGAAAGAAAATGTTCATGTATGCTCAAAGGAGTGAAGTTAGTGAATCTGATTCTGGCAACTAGGAGACACATATCAAAAATTACTTGGAACTGGCCCTCTTATTTCTTCTCCCTATAAAAAGCCAGGAAATAGACAAGTGTTGCCATTTGGAAAAGGTTTTAAAAAATAAATGTATATGCCTTGTGGTACCCGACAATTTTTTAGACACATCTATCATATTAAGCCTAGATAGGCCAAATCCAATGATGCTAAATTTACACATGGTAATTTCATGCAATGTTAACACATAGACCAGTGCAAAATGGAATCGTAGAAGTTGAGTTAAATTTTTGAGCTCACCAGCACACAGGTTTCCATGGTGATATGGGCAGGAAAAGTCATCCATTTCACAGTATTTTCCATATACTTTTCCAAGTTTAGTTTTGTGACAGAAACATTTCCCACATATGCAGACACCTTGACCACTGCAAATGGGCTGGTTCTTTTGTGCCTTGCAACTGTCCAGATGGGATTGATCTCCATCAAAATAGCACTTGTCACCATCACACTGGGAACAAGTAGGACCTAAGAGAGTTTCATCTACACATTTCCGTTTGGGGCTTCTGCCATCATCACACTGGCAGCTACAGTTCCTATAGATGTGGACTTTGGTGCTTTCATTGAAGCCAATAGGCTTGATGATGGCATAGCTTCTCCCACCAGCTCCATCGCATACATCCATGGTCACAGTGATGTTGAACAGAACCTGGTGAAAAACAAAGCACAGTGGTCATTACAGGTTCCAGCCATCACTCCTCCCAAAAATATATCTCTATCTTCCAGTCAAGAGTGATGGGGGAAGCACACGGGCTGACTTTGACATTTAAGCCAATGTCAACCAGCATTTATTATGCACCTACTATGTTCCATACACTGTGCTAAGGGCTGGGGATACAAACAAAGACAAGAAATGCTTTCAAGGAGCTTACAGTCTAATGGGCAAGAAGCCATCTTCAATTACATGTGAGACATCTTAAACTGTATGTCCTGTAGACATCTTAAACTCAATGTGTCCAAACCTGAACTCATTATCTTTTCCCCCAAACCCTTCCTTCTTGCAAACTACTCTATTAAGGGCACCATCATCCTTATGTCAATACGGTTTGCAACCTAGGTGTCATCCTTGACTCCTCACTCTCCCCCCATATCCAATCTGTTGCCAAGTCCTTTCAATTTTGCCTTTATAACATCTCTAGTACATGCCCCATTCTTTCCTTTATCACTACTCCCTCCCTAGCGCAGGCCCTTATTGTCTCGTGCTTGGATTATTGTAATGGCCTGCTGGAGGGGGGGTGTCTCCAAACCTTGTCTCTCTTCACTCCAGTCCATCCTCCACTTAGCCATCTAATTCATAAAGCCCAGATCTGACCATGTCATCCTTCTACTCACGAAACTACAGGAGATCCCTAAAGCTTCTTCCTACCTTTACAGTCTTCTTCTATTTCAAACCATCCCACCCTTACCATGTCCTTACCAATGCAGTCACAAGGGCTTTCTTGCTGTTCCTCCTGCAAAACCCTCCATCTCCAAATTTCAGACCTTTGCTCTTCCTCCCTATCTCTAGCTCCCAGATTTCTTTTCTAGTCTATTCCATTCTAGTCTAAGTTGAAAATCCCAACTTCTTCAAAAAGCCTTTCCCAATCCTCCTTAACATTCATGCTTTCCCTATGACGACTATCTCCAATTTCTCATGTATATAGTGTGTTTGTACATAATAGCTTTCATGTTGTCTCCATTAGACTAGACTGTAAGTTCCTTGAGAGCAAACACTTTGTTTTTTGCCTTTTTTTGTATCCTGAGTGCTTACTACTATACCTGGCTCATAGTAGATGTTTAGTAAATACTTGTTGACTCACTGACACAAACAAAATAGATGCAGAATGTATTTGAAGTAATGAACAGAGGGAAGGAGCTACTATTCCAGGGAATCCAGACAGGCATCCTGTAGAAGGAAACATTTTATCTGAAGAAGGAAAACAGGGAAGGTAGGAGATGGGCATGCAGAGGGAGAAAATGCCAAGCCTGGGGGACAACCAGGGAAAATGCCTGCAATCTAGAAATGGAATGATGGAATGGCTTGTTGGGAGGAAAAAGCAAGGAGGCCACTGTCACTGACTCCGAGAGTATGTGAAGGTTTTGAGGTATGAGAAGACTTAAATGAAGCAAGGGGTAGGCCATGAAGGGCTTTAAAAGCCAAACGGAGGAATTTATATTTGATCCTGGAGGCGATGGGGAACAACTGGAGATTGTTGAATGGGGGAAGGGTGAATGGAATGGACAGATCTGTGCTTTAGGAAGATTAATTTGACAACCGAGTGGAGGAAGAACTGGAGTGGGAGAGACTTGAGGCAGGGAGAACAGCTGGCAAACCACTGAAATAGTCCAGGATGATGAGGGCACCAGGGCAGTGGCAGTAGCAGAGGAAAGTAGGGGCATACATGAGAGATCTCATGAATGTAAATCAACAGAACTTGGCAAAAACTTGATATTGGAGGTGAGGGAGAATGATGGAAGAATAGAAGGGAATAAGAATTTATTAAACTCCTACCATGAGCAAAGCACTAAGTTAAGTGCTTTGCAAATATTATCTCATTTGATCCTCACAACAGCCCTGGGAGGGAGGGGCTGTTTTCATCCCTATTTTGAGGGACTGAGGAAAACTGAGGCAGACAGAGGATAAGTGATTTGCAGAGGGTCACACAGCTAATAAGTGTCCGAGGTTGAGTTTGACTTCAAATCTTCTGGACTCCAGGCCCAGAGCTCTATAAACTGTGACACCTAGAGTGAGGAGATAAGGAGGATACTTGAGTGAGTAGGAAGATAGTAGAATCCTTGACAGTAATAAGAAAGTGACGAAGAAGGGAGCATCAGAGGTTAGAAGATAATGATATATTTTGCACATGATGAGTTTAATAAGTCTACAAGGCATTCAGTTTCAAATGTCCAGTAAGTAGCTGTAGATGTGAGACTGGGGGTCAGAGCTAGATAATTAGATCTGAGAATCATCAGTTCCTTCCAATTCTAAATCTTTGATTCTTTAATCATGTATTGAGAGTGAGGGAGAAGAGATGTACAGTCTAAGTGCTTCAAAGGCCAGCACAAAATAGTCACCGATGAGCAATGTCAGAGTTCATAGGACCAGAGAATTCAACCTAGATGGACTTTTTTGACATCATCCACTCCAACCCTCTTCTTTTGTAGATGAAGAAACTGAAGACCAGAGAAATTGTTGTTTTTTCCTCAAAGTCCAACAGGTAGCAAGCAACAGAGTCAGGATCTGGACCCATATCCTTTTATGCCAAATCTGGTGCTCTTTCCACTATAAAAAGTAACCTTTAGTTGAAAAGGAACCAGTGACCATTTAGTCCTGCACATCCTCTCTGCTAGAGACTCAATAAAGTATCTTGAAGGTCTTCGGTGAATGAGGTTTACACCACCTCCCAAAGCAACCAATTCTACTTTTGAACAGTTCTGGTTATTAGGGAGTTTTCCCTTACATCATGCCTAGAGAAAGGTGGCTAGCACCTTGGTTAGGTCCACTCAGAAAGGTTACTATGAAGTTGTGCCTCAGGAATTGCATAGCATGAGAAGGCATTTAATGTACCAGGATCTGCAATGTCAGCAATATCTACCCACATCATGAGATGTTGGAACCCCTGAAGGAAAAACCACTGTATGTTTCATCAGTGGGGAACTGAATTTCAGCCACATGTTTACCTCTCAGTGCAGAAAGTCCCCCTACTGATTTAGAGCAGTACCTTCTTTATAACTTCGGGTTTTAGAGAATTTCCTGAGGCAGTGAGTGATTGAGTGAGTTGCTACTGGTCACATGACTGGGCTGCACCAGAGGCAAACCAGGCAAGGCCATCTCTCTCAAGTCAGAAGACATGGGTTTAAATGGGGATCACTTCTAGTCATGACTACAGTTATGACTTTAGGCCAGTTAGTTAAACTCCCTAAGCTTCAGTTTATGCCTCTCTAAAATGAGGTGGTAGTGGGGGGTAGATTCAATGGCCTTGGAATTTCCTCCCAGCTTTAGAGGTGGCATCTATAATTGCTATCCACAACCTGTTACTACTCTGGATCAACAGATTATGAAGATGCTATCGATGCCCTCCCCTCTCATTTTGAAATGAGGTAGTGACTGCTGTTTTGTGATGTTAGCTCTTTTACTGATTCATGAAATCCAGCAAGAGAGCTTGGGGACCATCAGTAACCCAGCTCACACCATGTAACTGACCCTGACCTTGGGCACTTGCCCTCCTGCTCGTGATTAATGGCATTTTCCATGCAGCTTAGCACAGTGCCTGACACTTAATACATGTTTATTGGTGAGGATCATTGCTGATAATTTCAGCAGGCTTAAAGAGGATGACCTTAGAGACAGACTGAAGTCAAATCCCTTTACAAGAAGCCTTTCCTGGTCCCCCTTAATGCCAGTGACTTCTCTCTGAGATTTCCTCCCATTTATCCTGTGTAGGTCTTGTATGCAGACAGATGTTGGCAGATGGCCTCCCTAATTATAATGGGAGCTCCTTGAAGGTAGGGACTGTATTTTTGGCCTTCTTTGTATTCCCAGTGCTTAGTACGGTGCCTGGCACACAGTAAGTATTTAATACTTGCTTATTGATAAGGTTTTATTCAATCCCAAAATGTCATTATTATAACCACCAGCATAATAATCCATAAAACACTGTATAGAAGGAAATAATAGAAAGACAGTAACTTTTTCTGAACACTTCTGTCTGAACTGCATTTACAAAGATGAAAATGAGCTACCAGTAGAAAAGATAATAGCACTCACACCATCTTTTGTTTCTGTAGTACTCGATGAGATTTCTCATAGCAGTCCTCTGAGGGAGCTGGCCCAGTATCATTAACAGATGGGGCAGGGTGGTGGGACATAATGGGTTGAAGATGCCTGATCATAGGACTTGGGTTGGAATTTCAGCTCTGGGAATTAACCTTTATGACTTTGGGGAAGTGACTTCACCTCCCTGGGCCTCCTCTTATTCATCTGTAACACGAAGTGGGTGGACTGGGTGACCTCTAAGGTCCTTTCCTAACTCTGAGTCCTCTGAACTTTGGAGACATTAAGTGACTTGTCTGTGGGCGCAGAGCTGGTATACATCCAAGCTGGGATTTGAACCAAGGCCCCCTGGCTCTGAGCCCAGGTCTTTCTCTGCTCAGCATTCAGCACTCGCCTAGGTAAAATGCAGGCTCATGGACCATTTGGCACAGTGGATTGCTTCCATGGGCTAAGGTGGAGGGCTGCTCCCCTGTGGCTTTCCCACTTGGCTGAGCAATTTGCTCTAACAGACATTCATTCTGTTCCTTTTTTCCCAGAGACCTGAGTGGAAGGCTAAAACCCTCCACTTTCTCCTCCTTCTCTGTGCCAGCTCAGGGAGAAACTTCTACTTTCTCTTCAACGAGGAACACAAAGAAGTGGATTCTCTGGTCCTTCTTGTGACATATCAAGCTTTGTTTCTCATTTAAAATGGGAGTGAAGCTGCTCTGGGAGCTCAGAAGGCCTCTTTTTTTTTCACCTCAGAAGACCCCAGGTAGTGCAGGGGAGGGAGGCAACCACTCTGAATGGCTTCATCTCCTTGGTGGGCATTACTAGGCCCGGGCGGAAGTATTTGGGGTTGGCATGAACCAGACATCCTGTCATGGCCCTGTGGCTTTTTCTTGCCAATCTCCTCTTCTTGGCTACCTACATGGGCTCCATTGTTGGCCTACCCTAAAGCCTTCAGAGGCTTGAACAGTTCTGGAAAGGGAAAAATCCTCTCTGCTTATCTGGCCTCCGTTACAACTAGGACATACAATTTTCTCTAGCCTTTCTTGTTGGTCTGTAGGCATTATATTTAATCAAAGATAACTAGACTAAGCCTACTCCATTTAAAATGTGTTAGGTTGATGTAGGCAATTTTTTGGAATTCTTTTGAAAATCAGCATAGTTTGATGTTGCATTTAAAAAGTTGTATTTTTTCATGCACATGAATCCTAAGGATTAACAGATGTGTGAGGGCATAAGAAGGTTTGTAGCATAAAGTGCTGCCAACATTAATAGCGAAGCCTAACTAAGGAGTTTATGTAATGAAAGGTCATACGAGTTTTCCCGAGAGTAATGCTGTTTGTACTACTCGGTTGAAGGAGAAAGAGAAAAAGAATTAGACAAAGAAGAGGAAGAATTTGACAACTAAGGAAGAGGAGCCTGCCAAGCCTGGATTATTGAAAGGAAGGCTTGCTCCTGAGAGGTTAACCCTTCCTGAGCAAGGGCATTTCAAGAACTCCACACTCCAGATCTCAGCTGCTCTTTTCCCTTCATGAAAACCTAAGATAATGTTTAACAAACTTAGAATTATGGACTGTTGCAGCTGAATGGGAGCTAAGAGATGACCCGAAAACAGCCTCCTTTTTTCATCTTACAAAAGAGACAGCTGAGGCTCAAGGAAAGAAAAGGACTTACCCAGGGTCACACAAGTTTGATGGGGGGTGGAGCTGAGAGTAGAGGTAGAATCTCCCGGCTTTTACAATTGTTAGAAAATTACAGGAAAAAAATCAATATGGGGTGATCAAAGAAGAACAAATAAGAAGCATAAAACTGCAATAATTTGTCTTTTTTAAATGTAATTTGATGGGGCTTGGGATGATCTCTGGCACCCAAAGATTCTAAACTTTCTAGCTAATCCTTAGGGAAATTAAAAAAAAATGAAGTCCGAGTTTCATTCTGATGTCTAGATGCCCTCTCTGGAAAGAAAGGCAATAATAGTCCAATTTTAACAGAAATTTCCAGAATCTTGTGAATACATTCCCAGATATCAGGATCCCCATTTCACAAGTCAGAAGATTTTCCTTATATTATTAAAGCACAAAATAGCATCACTTATTCAAGTATTTTTTTGGAAATTTTGCATCCTATTCATATTGTATGTGATCATGTTTGAAATTTGAAATTTAGCTGTGGCGGGGGCAGGTGTGTACTTCTAAAGAATCTATATGATGGGCTCTTGTCTTTGTTTTCTTTGCTCTTCTTGTTTGCTCTTTCATTTCAAAAAATATGTTATTATAAATTGTTTTTAGAGTTGGAAAAAAAAGCTTTACAAATCATCAAGTATAACTTCTAATTTTACTGATGGGGAAACTGAGGCCCGGAGAGTTTCAGTAACTTAGCAAGGTCACCCAGGGGCAGAGGGAGCAGTGAGAGCAGTAGAAGCCAGGTTTTGCCTCCCATCCCAATGTTGTTCTTTCATTTACGTGACACCATTCCATATGAATCTTATTTTAATTCTTTCTTTCCTTTTTTTTTAAATCATTGTGCCAGGAATCTGTGTAGGTAGATTGGACTCAGCGCTATCCATAAAATGGTTTGAGGACCCGCATGTTTTCCTAAATCTATATTCTTCTAATTTTTCACCCATTTTTGCTCCTACCTATATCCTAAGTGATTTGACCTTGTCTCCTAGAATTTTTGGAGTAGAAACTAGCAAAATTTCTACTAGCAAAGTGACAAAATAATGAAATTGGTAAATTACAAACAGAATTTGAAGCTGGAAGGAACCATAGAGACAACCTAGGCCAATCCAAGAAAATATAAGCTATTTGAGCACCGTATTTTTGTACTTAATGAAATGCTTGTTAAGTTAAAGCCAACTCTTTCATTTTATGGATGAGAAAACTGAAGTTTAAAAAAGGAAAGTGACTTCCTCAAGATCATACAAGTCATGAGCAATAGAGCTGAGATTTGAAGCCAGGTCTCCTTTGACTCCAAATCCAGTGATCTCCCCATTACACTACTGATCAAAATATATGAGTGCACTAAATTATCTGAATAATATTAGATGCTTGGAAAGGCTCTTGTCCCAAGAGGTTGGCACCAAGATTTTTAAATTTGGAGAACATGTCCACATTGGAAAGCACTTTCATGAGGTAAAGACAAGCACTTTAGGAGTTCAATAAATCCTGTTCATAAAACCCAAGCATAAGCATTCCCTCAAAAACAGTGTGCCTTACAAATTCGCCAAATTTCAGTAGAGTTTGCCACCTAATTTACTCTGTAAGAAAGATGCCAAATAATTGAGTTATTGGAGAACGAGATTAGCTTGGACTGAGACAGAATCCTGTAGTAGAAAATGCCCTGGCCCAGGTGCCAAAAGATCTGGATTCAAGTCCTAATTCTGTTGCTGGCTAGCAATATGACCATGAGGAAAATCAAGTCAACCAGAATTTTTCGAGCCCTTAGGATGTACTAGCATTGTGCTGGGCAGGGGAAGAACAGGAGCATTTCTTTTGGCCTCAGTTTCCTCCCCGGTACAATGAGGACAAACAATTCAAGAAGGCCACTTCCAAGGTCCCTTCTAACTTTGACATTCCCTAGCTGAATTCTCTGAAGGGGCTGAGACGGGAGGGTCCCCATGTCTACATACTTCATCGCTGCTGGTCACATTTCTGCATCCTTCCATCCCTGTATGTCTGCTCCCATCAGGACAGATGGCTGTGATGGTAAAATGGACTCCTGGTATCTGATTCTCCACCTGAACTCTCACTTCGGAAATCAGTTTCTGCAAAGGACAACACCTTCAATTACAGGGCACTGAGAGTCCCAACAAGAAGTGACGACTCAGAGTCGAGCATATTCAAAGCATGCTTGACATCATGGTTCTAGCACGATCAAAGAAAGAGTGATTGTCTGCAACAAAGGAATGAACAAAGGCATTGTTTTCATCACAGAGACCCAGTTATGCCTCACACGTATAAGGGAGAAGTAGCAACTCTGAAGAAAAGGATTTGGACACCCCCGTTTTGGTTGTAGTCTCTTCTCACAAATTTGCTTCCTTTATAATAGTTTACAATGTTTTGGTAAGTCTGGGCGTTCCCCAGAAGGGCATTGTTTCTTAATGTTAATGCTCTCCTTTCATGGTATGGCTCCAATAAAACAGTGGGGAACCCATCTATCAGCATTGAGGACAGAGAGGCTTGACAGCTGGAAGTCTGAAGCCCGCAGCTGCAAAAGAAAACATTTCACTTTCACAGACGTGAGGCCTTTTAGAAAAGCTCATGAACTTCACTGACAGAGATTTGACAAGAAACTTTGCTTGTTGGGACCATTTCTACTTGTTGCTGCTTCGAGAAGGAGATGCCTGAGCTTGCCTCCACCTTTTTTTTTTTTTCATAACTGAAGTAAGGGTCTGGAGACTGCCAGGGATTTGGGAAAACCTCTGGCGCCTACCACTGACTGCCATGTTTGTCTAAGCCTCCCACCATGGCAAGGCCTCTGACAGGGTCAGAAACAAACTTCTAGAATAAGAGCACTTTCTCTTATACCACAGACATCAGTGCCAATAGATTCTAAGGACCTTTGTAGAGCACAAGTCAATAACGTTCTGGGCATGTAATACTAGAGAATAACGTGATCCATAAGTTCTAAACACAGGAACCAAGGAAAAGAAAATAGAGGGGAAACGCAACACAGTTAGGAAGGGAGGTAGGAGGGGCAAGAAACCTCAAACGATATCTCAGGGGTGAAAGGTCAAAGCTTTTGGTTTTTCTTAGGAGTGTCACAAGTAATGAATAAATCCCATGCCTTGGAGTTGGGATGACCTGAGTTTGAATCCTTCAGACAATCGCTAGCTATGTGACTGCTTGGGTTACTTAACCTCTCTGCCTCAGTTTCCTCATCTGTAAAATGAAAAATTAGATTTAATAACCTCTAAGGTCCCTTCCAGCTCTAAATCTATGAGCCTGCAAGAACTATGAGGAAAGTAGGGGAATATCCCATCTGACTTCATCATTTTTCAGATGGGGAAACCAAGGATCAAAAAGGTAGGCAAATTTCCTATAGTGACACATCTATGAAAGATCAGCTCCAAAGAGCGTTTGGAGGTAGGCTCTCATGAGCAGGTGATTACTTAATAAATGTTATTGATCCTAATTGGATTCCGAGAGTGAATTTAAGAGCAAAACAAACTCCTCTTCCTTTCCCAATGTTTCCATGAGAAGAGTCTTTGAGTTGGGGCCTGTATTTGCTACTTTTGAATCTCAGAGAACTCATTTCTGCTTAAATGTATAAATCAATGATTTAGATGGATGAATGAAAGCTACGGGTATACACAACAGATTGCTGAATTATGGCTGATCAGGCACACTGAGAGGAAATGCCTTCATTCAAGCAGCTTTCTTGGCCTGTCTTGCTCATGACTGGCTTCTCAGAAGAATTTGGGCTTGATAGCCCAAATAACTTCAGAGGCTGGAGTGGAATGTCTCCCAGTCCTGGCACATGGAAGTTAACTCTGACACTGGATCTGACTTCCTTTTCACACTGAAAGTGTAATGCTGCCCAATTCACAGTGGGGAACATTAGCCCATAGTCACTGAATCTCAGATTAGGAAAGGACGTCTGAGACTGCCAAGTCAACCAGAACCTGAGCCAGAATCCATAGTATGACATCCCCAATCAATGATCATCCAGGCTTTGTCCAAAGACCTCTTCTATTCCCCCCTGGCAGCCCATTTCACTTTTACATAGCATTAAATCTGCCTCTTTGTCCCTGTCCCCCTCCCATTGCTTCTACTTCTGCCCCCCAGAGTCAAGCAGAACTAGACTAATCCCTCTTCCATCTGACAGCTCATCGCACACTTGATCACAGCTCTTCCCCATTTAACATTTTCATGTCCTTAAACCTATGAAATGAACTCAAGGTCCTTCACTATCTTGCTTGGCCTTCTCTGGCAACTCTACAGTTTATTCAAAATACTCTTAAACTCTGCCCACTCCCATGCCCCAAACAGAGTACAATACACCAGATGTTGTCTGACTAGGGTAGAGGACAGAAGCACTGCCTCATTCCTCCTCCTGGATGTTCAAGTACTCTTAATTTAGCCTCCAAGGACAAGAACTCCCTCAGTGACAAAGCATACTCTAGAATATGATTTGCCAATGACCATAAACGTTTTAATTTTTAAAATTGGTTCAATGCAGCAAATATCTATTAAAGTACCTACTGTGTGCTTAAAGGAAATATGGAGCAGTATGAACCAAATTGAATTTTCAGGAGATTTGCAAAATAGAGACATATGGGTGATGTATAGAGATGTCCCAGAGAGGATAGAGCTAGGAGCACTGGGCAGACGGAGGTTGTGAAGAGGCAATTTTAGGTTTGATAGGACAACTTTCCTCCAATTTGCAGGTCTTTAAACATGGAATTTTCTGCCTAAGGAGGAAGGTAACTTCTCCTCCCTGTAGGTCTTAAGGCCAAGGATGGAGGAGCACTTGGGAGGTATTGCAGAGGACAGCATCAGTGGGTTATGGGTCAGAGCTAATATGGTAGACAGTGTCCAGCAGAGTGCATCATACAGCTTTATTATATTTATGGAATGAAGATAGGAATATTCCTAGTGAGTTTGCAGACCTAAGAATCACCAAAGTTGAGAGCAATGATTTCTCGACATTTTTTGCTTCCGTCCTCCATCATGCTTTGTACATCTTGGCCACACGCATCTCCTTTCTCTTTCCCACCTTGGTGATTTTGCATAAGCTCTGCACTCTCCCTGCTGCAAATTCTCTCCCTTCTCACTTATACCTTTCAGACCCCCTTGGTTCCTTCAAGATTTATTGGATGTTGGAAGAGTTTCTTTGTCGGTACTTGTATCTCCACCATTTTGCACAATATTATTTTATATTTATTCTCTTTCTGTCTCTATATAAATATACTAACACACACATACACACATATGTGAGTGTGGGTCACTTTTCTATGTCTACGTTGTTTACCCCTTATTTAATATGAACTCCTTGAGGTCAGGAATTGTTTTGTGTTTATTTTTTTATCCCCCAGTGCTTGGCAAAATGCCTGGCACACACTAGGTGCTCATTAAATGCTCGTTGATTACTGAATTACTATTTTAGGAGGCCACTGGTTTCAACATCTTGACTGAGCTGCCTGTGTGATTCAGTCCAATAACTTTCCAATTCAGTTTAAGGAAAAGGTCCAAACTGTTTAACTTAGCTGGTTTAAAAAAAAACCCTCCATCTGCCTGCCTCTTGGGCTCAGGGCTGTGCCCAGTTCTGTGAACAGAAGGCCACATGCCCTTCTTCCTTGCTGCCATCCTGCCACCCCCAATGAGATAGATGGTGGAATCCTTCCTGGAGTTTTTATAATCTGTAGGTTTGCAAAATTTCTTATTAACCAAGGGGAAGTTGTCAGCTATTGCTGGGTTACCCATCCATCCATCTTGCCTTCTAGCTCCTGCTTTGCCATAGGAAACTCTGGGCTGAAAACCCTCAAATAAACAAATAGACAAACAAAAAGGGAGACTTGTGACTGGCCAACATACCTGATAGGCATCCACCACCAAGTTGTTGAGGTTTGCTGCTTTTGATTCAATTTGGCCAGCCACGGTTCCAGGCAAAAGCGGTAGGAGATCCTGTAACAACACAGGCACACACGTAGCTAGACGAAGACAATCTGTGATAGGTTACTGAGCATTTCCTGAGTGACTGGTGTTGGGATAGGCAGAGATCTGAGGACCCCAGAGTGTTATACCAAGAACTCAGACTTGAATTGGGAAAATAAGACATCCAAATGATTCATGAACATGATTAGATTAGTGAGACTACCTTTTGTTGTTTTGGCTCTGGTCTGTGATTTTGCTGGAGTAATTGGCAGTGCCTCTTGATTTCTTCCCTGGATACCATATTCCTACCCTAATTACTTGTCAGGGGCGTGTGTGAAAGAATAAATTAATGAATGAAAAAGCATTTCCCAAGTATGTACTATGTACAAAGCATTATGCTCAACATAGGAGGCATGACTATAACAGAGTAAGATGCAGTAAGGTGACTGATTGGACCATAATAGAAGCAGAAGTCAGGTGGTACAGTGGATAGAACACTGGAATACTCGAGTTCAAAAACTGCCTCATTGACTACTGTCTGACCCAGAACAAGTAAGTCAATTAACCCTGAACCTCAGTTTCTCTATCTATAAAATGAGTGATTAGAATTGATGGCTATTAAGGTCCCTTCCAGCTTTGTCTGGTTCTGTGATGATTTTTCTCCCATCAGAAAGGAGAAAGGCAGGGTATGGAAGGCAATAATAACTATTGGGGAAACCCTGGTTGAAATGGTGGGCTAAAGGGTTCCTGGGTGGGAGATTCATTGCCCCTGTATGCAGAGAGATGAAGGCATCAGATCTGCAGAGATATGGCCACCTTCTCCCAGGTCAACTTATCTATTCCCAGGTTAGAAAGTAAAAGGTGGTGCCATATTCCAAAACTAGACTCTGCCCTTGCCACACCTTTGAGATCTGTTTATTGGCAGCATTGATTTGCTCTGGGCCTCAGTCTCCTCAACTGTAAAATGAAGGGTTTGGACTAGATGACCTCTAGGTCCCCAGAGAGATAAAGTGTAATACAATTTGACATGTCTAGTAAGTATAGTGATCGGTAAGGGAGGGAGTACTTTTTGACCACCTGACCCAGTGGCTCTATCCCAGTAATTTCTACAGGTCTAGAAACCCCCTGGCCCCAGGATCTAAGAAGTAAAATCTCATGGAAGGTGGAAATTTTTAGAGTGTGTGGGGAAATGGCATCAGAAACATGTTGAGGTCATGGAGGATAGGTATATTGTTGACCTGGAGCTAAAGTGGCAGCTTCAGCAAGGTGCTGAGGGCAGAAGGCAGATTTTGGGGTCTTTCTGTATCATACTTCATACCCTGATGCCTTCTTCCCAAAGACACTATGGATAGCTCATTCTTCATCACTTGGCTTTTCACTATTTGCACGGCTCCAATAAAGACAGATACTTTATCCTCGAGGGAGTTCCAGGTAAAAAGATGGAAGAGGGCCCTGAGAACTGGGGGGAAAATACCTCAGAGATCCTCTAAGTCAACTTTCTGATTTTAGAAATAAACATTAGTAGCATAGAAAGACTGCGTGAGTTAACCCAAGGTCACAGCCATAGTAATAAGAAAGCCAGGTTCTGAATGAATTCTTCTGACTTCAAATCTAAGGCTGTTTTCACTATATCCCTCTCACTCAGACCCCTGAAACACACTTCAATCTGTGCTCTCTGGGCTACCCACACTAGTCCATAGTTTCCTCAGGGTGTCCCAATTGATTTTAAGTCATCTTTTGGGTGAAGAATTTTGGGGAAGGAGAATCAATCTGGGACTTGATCCTGGGGATTTTGGCTTGGTTCATGACCCTCCCTAAACCCTGTGTTCCTGAAAATGAACTGCAACTATTGGAGTAGACCATAACTGACCTAGTCAGATTTTAGATGACCTAGGTCTAGTCTATATCCTGAGAGTTAACTCCCTGCCTAGTGGAGACTCAGAGCGATGGTCTAGACCAACAATGAGAAGGACTGGGCCTGAAACCTTAAAGGTGAGGCCTGAAACTCATGGTTATCCAGCTCCCAAAATTCTTCTCAGTAATGAACTCCCTTTGGAATCTGTCCCTCATTCACTTGAAAGGCAGAATAGTGCCATATCCAGAGTGCAAGATGGAAAATCTGAAGAACTGGGTTCAAATCCTGGTTCTGCCACTTCCTACCTCTGGGACCTTGGGCAAGTCATGTAACCTCTCTGGGGCTCTGTGTTCTCATCTGGAAGAGGAGGGTGTAGGAATAGAAGAGCTCTAACTTCACTTCCAGCCCTAAATCTGAAATTCCATGGCTGTTATGTTGAAATGCTGGATGGTGATCTAGAGGAGAAGGATGTGGAAACATCTTCCAACCCCAGTCTGTCTCGGTATGCTCTTTTGGGAGGAAACATGGTGAAGTACTTGAGAAGAGTCAAAAGTGGAACCAACTACACACAGATTCTTGTTTGTACTTCCAAAGAATTTCTTCATTTCAGAAATGCCACTCATCCGTCCTTTTGGCACATGAATGAAACTTCAAAAGCAAAAACATCTCCGAATTAGCCTACCTTGTACCAATGAAACTGTTTTCCTTGGACTGCAAAAATAACATTAATATTGTTGTCTATTAATTTTTCTGCAAGTTGCCCCAGCGAGGGATGCTCCTGTAAAACAAAAGGGAATAACAGAAGGAGTCCAATTCAGAGGAGGGGCCCCAGGCCCATAGGTTCACATTTAAAAAACAAACAAACAAACACACAAAGAGGACCCTAGATTTGGATCTGGAGAGGACTTCAGTTCTACCTAGTTTAATCTCCTTATTTTACAGTTGAAAAAACTTAACTGACTTGCCCATGGTGACTGAGATACTTGCCCAAGTGACAGAGGTGATGCCAGAGCCCAGGTCATCTGACTCCAAAGCCAGTATGTTTTTCACTACATTGACCTGCCCTAAAGTATTCTAAGTCAGGTAAGCCCTTTGAGGGTAGCCACATTTTTCTGTTTTGAATCCCTAGCACCTAGCAGAGTATGCTTGGTACACTGTAGGTGCTTAATAAATGCTTATTGAATTAACTGGGCAGAGCTATAATTTTGATAGTAGCCTCAGAGTACTTGTCAGAAGAAAACCAACATGAACATCTATGTATCTTGGTGGTCACTGGTAATAAATAGATCTGCTTTTAGGTGGCGGAATGTCACCATCCAGAGAATAAAGGGAAGGCACTCCATCTGATAAAAATTCATATTTAATACACCTTTAGACTAAATGGTGGAATTAAAATACTGGGATTGTAGGAGTATGTCTGACTTAGAAGCCAAAACTCATTAGTGGGAATTTTATTTTTTAAGGTGTCTGACATCGGATGGACTAATGCTAAATTCCAAAGAATGCTATCTTGAGTGATGAAATTCATCATCAATAAAAGGCTACCTCTCAGTTGTATCATGCAAGCTAAAAGCAACACATACATCTATCAGCTCTTTCGCCAACACCTTGACCATCAGACCAAACTGACCCTGTGTAGTCAAAGAGAACCTTTACTGTGAGCTGTCCTGTTGCAAAGCAACAACCTCTCATTTGATTTTCTCTGACAAATCAAATCCGTACACAAACCCTGGCTTATGGCTTAGCAAAAGGGAGGAGGAAGAAAAGTTGAGGTTTGTCAAAGTAAGAACTATAACAAAAATATGTTTTTTGGTTTAAAATGAAGTAATTAGGCTTAAAAATGAGAAAGTGTGAGAGTGGCCTCTCCACTCTCATTCCCCAAAGTAGGCAGTATTGATCATAAAGGAGAAAGTGATAAAGAGGAGAAGGGTATACTATTGCTGAAGACAGTGAGTGTGAATACCCAGCTGGCTTCCTGATCTGTTTAAGCAAGAGATTGGCTTCCCCAATATACAGATACAGAAAATATGCAGAAATCCACCTGGAAGAATATCAAGGTGTAGATGTTAAATGGAACCAATATGTGGATGGTTCTGTAACAATCCATTCTCATTATCTCAGTTCTGCAGGGAGACACTCTATGAAGTGAAACCTAAATGTAAGAAGACAAAGGGGCAAGAGGAGGTAGATTAACCAAGTATGTTCAAAAGAAGCCTATTTTCCAAATAATCCCATTTTAAAGGTACTCAGGGATCAATTTTCAAGATGTTAAAGAAAAAAAGATGCCAAGAGAATAACAACATTTCTGTACAGTTTCTGCTACTGTCTCTGCTCTATGAATCTTTGTGAGCATGGTCTATACATACACGGATAGTATCCTTGATGAAAATATGTGAAAGGAATAAGCTGACATTAAGAGAATATTTTCTATAGCAGACCAGAAGTTTAAAGTTAAACAACTGGCTGAGAACATAGCAAATATAATATAATACTATATCTACTTTCTGTTGATTTAAAAGTAGTATTGACTGGGAAGAACAACACAAAGATATAGTGTTTCATGTATGTGTATATTAAAATTATGCGATATTTGATGACAGATGTCATCACAGAGATAACTTAGTCCAACAATGAGTTAGAGAGTACCAGCAAGTGAGGTAGCAAACATGAAGACTGTTCACTTTGGGTGATTCTCAGTGTAGTAGAGAATATCCTGCACAGAACACAAAGAGGTGGGTACCTCCACATCGATAATGGAATTCTTTAGATATTCCTTTTTGTGTATAATTTTGTGCTGGCTTGCTCGATCTTTGAGACACCCCAGGAACTCTTTAATGAGATTAATGGTCTTTGGAAAGAGATTGAGTATAGCCATCCAAAAGGAAAAGCAAAGTGGATGAAAATGCCTATTGCCTTGATTGTAACCTTCAGTTGGCTTGTTAGCCCACTTACTAAGTTATTCTAGTAGTATCTATATCTTTATATAAGGTACCAGGAATTAATAGGAACAGAAGATAAGACTGGATTGCATTTTTGAAGCTGTGCAGTGGTTTCTAGTGATTCCAACCTGCTCTCTGACACAAAGGCCTTGTTTTTTAGCATTGGTATTCTCCTAGTGCTGCTATATGACTTTATCCATAACAAAAGTCTGAAGAATCAAAATTTTAGTGACTCAAAGCCCCCTCAAAAAAAAATTGAGCATGTCTTTAAGTAGGCAAGGGTCCAATAAGGATTTACAGAAAGACCTGGACAGTAATCACACAGTTAAAAGGATGAAAGATTTTGACCAGCACCATTAAAGGCAGAACCCACACCAATAAGATATAGATTCCCAGGAATGCTGAACTGGGAATGTACAACATCATGGTCCCCACATACTGAGAGCACTATAGTTTACAAATCATTTTTCTCACAATCCACTTTTTAAGTTTGGGGAACTGAAACAGAGGGAGGTGATATAATTTGCCAAAGTTTACCTGAGTAGTAAATCATGTAACTGAGACACATATACCCAGGTTTTCTGCCACCAAATCCAGAATTCTTTAAATATGTAGGAAGTATTTCATGTGTGTTTGTTAAATTGAATAATTTCCCCATCCTCTTGCTGTCCATTGGTTGGGACTCTGATCACATGGTCCTGCCCACCTGCCCACACATGCAATAGTGTAGCAGACACCTATTATGTGGACGGTTAAGCACAAATTGAATACTTCTGCCTTTTTTACAGAGTTGTTATGAGCCAGCTAATCTTGTGATTGAGATATCTGTCACTAATATGATTCAAACTCAAAGCAAAATTCAGTCATTAATACTTCCAGGATAAGTATGTTTGTTGAAAAAGTTAAACTGAAAATTTTCCCTTATAGGTAACATCTATGGTTCATATAGAAAGTGACATCTATGTGGATAGCTGTGATAAATGGGTGTAGGGAATGCACGTTGTGGGATCTCCCTCTGCCAATGCAGGTTGGTACTTTTCTTTGCAACTTAGTCTTAGAGAGTTGCCTGTGATGCTGAAAAATCATAATGCTTGCCCAGGGTCATACAACTATTATGAGTCAAAGGCAAGACTTGGATTACCTAATCTTCCCAATCTTCTTAACATCCAGGTTATATCTCTATCCATTACCCTATCATGGTTCTCCATACTTGCATATTAAAACAAACAAATCCATCTGTGTTAGTTCCATGACTAAATATAATACTTCTCTCCTACTTCCACCCAACAAACAGCTTTTATTCCTAAGAAAGAAATTGATGTCATTTTTGCTTTGGGCAAAGGGAGCAATTTAAAATGGCAGAAAATACAGATTCATAAAAAGAGGTTTAAGGAACATCACCTGGCCTAGCCATTGCCCACTGAAAATTGACCATGGAGCCAATTTTATCGGTGAAATTAGCTCCTCTGGAGAGAAAGAATTGGAAACTGCAAATATAAATAGCTGTTTCATGCCAATTAAGTAGCTGATTAGACACATCTCTAAGCCTTGCACCCAATGGAATGGATGTCAAATTAATACATCAAAGTTGCTTAACGAGCAGCACACATAAGATTGGGTAAATCTGGTTGTATTCTGAATTTTTTTAAGCTTGCAAGTATTTATTGACTATGTTTGGTTTGCAAAATTGGAACACATTTTGCCAAGCATTGCCCCCTCACCCGAACTCCTAATTTTTAAACTCATGTGAATTTTAAGGGAAATTTAATCCATATGTTTCTAACTTGTTTACACTTAACTCATCATAACATTGGTTTTGAAAGAGGTATGCACAATTTAAGCAGCCTTCTGGGGCTTGTTAATGCTCCATCCTCCCCTGCCCCTACAAACAGGAAATCACATTTACCAAGGATACATAAGCTCCATCTTGAAAAGCACTTGTCTGGTCAGCAGATTAGGAGGAGAGGTTCAGTTGAGTTTCTAAACTTGGCAAGACAGATCCCCTGAACCCCTGAGGGGAGGGTGGGAGTGGATGAAATGTTTTAATAGAAAATTCCAAGTATATTGTGAGAGATTTTTCTCTTTCATTACAAACTTAGAACAGATGTTTCAATAAGCCACTGTTGACAACCAAATGGTAGATGGATTGCCATGACAGAAGCCCCTTTCTCCTCCTTCATGCAGCCTACTATCATTACTGGCTTTTATCTTTTCTGTCTCCCCTTTCACTAGCCAAGAGAAAATCCTCCCTCTTGATGAACTGTCCAGGTCGAGCGCCATCACTACTCTCCCAGTGCAGACTCCCCCTCAAGCTAACCTACTACAGGCTGTTTTTCTAAACTTGCAAAATAATTAAAAGCGATAATAGGTATTTCAGGGCAACAGGGAGAGGTGAAAGGGAAGGGCTAAGACAGTTGCTAATTACTCAAGGGTAAAGAGACTGACTCCTCTCCTATTTCTCTTCTTCACTTGCACTTTCTCAGAGGCCTGTGGGAAGTAACTCATAAAAGTCTGAGAAGGGAAGGGGAGAGTGACTCATGGGGAGCAAAGTTGGACACAGAGACAGCTGGGAGAAGGGAGGAAGGCCAGGGTCTTCATACCTGGCACACCATGGTAGATGGGAGCAATGGGAAAAGAAAAACAGGATATTTTGATAAAGGGATTCATAAACTAAATGTGAAATAGGTAGCACCAAAAACCACGTTTAAAAAGTCTGAACAAAGTAAATGCCACTGTGAGATTAGAAAATCAGCCTTAACCAACCAGAACCATTGGTTTGCATAAATTGTTCTACAGTCTATAATAAAAGAGCATAATTTCAGGCTTTTATGTGAAGAAG